CCCTAAACTCACGATTCAATCAATGAATTGTATTCATAGTTACGATTAGTTTGGCATTCATTTGACATTTCAATGAAAACACAAATGTATGGCAAATGGAGACTCAGTCTAATGATTGGATTTGTATGACAGGAGTGGCGAAGAACTTCCATATGATCTGCATTTTGGATGAGTTCGTCAAACTCACCGATAGGGAGATCACGTCGAAGACCATATGGAACCGATTGGAGACGATGTACGACATGGAGACTCTCGTATGTCTTCAGCCATTGTGTGGTTTATAGCCTTTAATTGTGATTACTTTGCTTCGCCAATAGCACGACAACGAAGACATGCCGTTCCCTAACATAACCTCTCCTTTCAATATCGAAGACAATCCAGAATTCAGTGAATTGTTTGCGAAGAGAAACACAAACAATGGGAAGACATCTGAGAAGGACTTAGACGTGAAGGAAGAGATGGAAGTGACCATCAATTCGACGAAAAGCGGACCAAAAGGTAAAACTCAAGACTCGACTAAAAGTAATTCCAAAGTGAAGACCGAAAACGAGAAGAATTCGTCGAAATGCGAGCGAAAGGAAGAGTCGACCAAACAGTCGGACAAAAGCGATGACAACACCGAAGACAAGACTCCAAGAGTGAAGAAACAGGTCTCCAAACAGACCACTGAATTGAGATCATCGACTCACTCGACCCCTTCGAGTGCCGNACCACTGAATTGAGATCATCGACTCACTCGACCCCTTCGAGTGCCGCCAAAAAACGCAAATAATTTTCGACTCATTTTACGGTAAAATAAATAATGATTTTTAATTAAATGTAAAACAAAACACTGTTTTTTGCTAAAGTATTTCCAATACATTGTAATTATTTTGAATAAATAAGAAATCTTATATCATTTGAATTGAAGGCATTATTGAGTCACTTATGGCTCAGTATTTCATGAATTGTCTCACATTTAAACCCATTATTCAAAGCAAATACCAGTCAATGAATACATACCTTACTATACGTCTAACAACTACTGCAAGACGTCTGGACTTGAGATGACCGTCGACTACAAGTTTAGCGGACTTTATGGCAGCTATAGGTCTGAAGTCACCCTTTCCTGGGATTTACATACGATTGAGGGGAAGGAGCGGACGGTTCATGTCGTGTCCGATATCCTCATTCAGTGCCTATCGGTGTGTATGTCGGGTGACCTGTCTTTCGTTTGGCGGACGGGTTGGTCACCAACTCATTGACATTGTCTCACCTCTGGAGCGCATGTGAGGTGAGGGACCGATAGATTCCGACACTAAGAGTACAGTTCCTCTGAATGTGGCGGACATTAACTGATGGGAAGTACTTATTACTGATAGAAGCGTCGGAATTAGAAGCGAAAGTCCAATGATATGGCCGTTCTGTGACCGACCGGTGATGTCTTCGTGAAGGCCTTCCATCTCATCGATGGTGTCATTCGTGTCAAGACGTGAGGTCCAGACGAACAGCCGTTCAATGGGTTTGTAGTGACTCTTAGAGTACACTTCGACCCAAGACTTGACAACTGGTGTCGGCGTCCAGTCATACCAATCGAGTCGTGTATGGAGTCGTCGATCGCCTGACAATCGGTTCTCGTCTTCAGAGGCCATGAGTGGTGAGAGGAAGGGATGGAATGGTAGGCAACATAAGACAATACAACACATCCAACGGTTAGACAAGTGTTTGAGTGTTATGTCGTGCGATGGGTTTGTAGACAAGGGATCCGTTGAGTCAAAGACTACTCTCTGTGGGGTTGAGAGTCGTTGTCTGTCATCGATGGTCGTGGCGTCCAAACCGTCACCGACGACACCAAAGGTATTGTCTTATGGTTTGCTTTCGATGTCTTGAGCGATAGGTCTCCTGTGATTCGGTGACTCGTCTCGTGTGGTGAGAGTCATCGTCGGGTCATCGATGGGTCGCTTATCCCAAGACTCGTCGGCAAACCGTTGCCCTCTCTCTGTGTGTCCCCCGAAGGCGGGAACTCCTCGTCATTTGAAAGACGGCTCCAAACACGACACCAATGGTGTGGTCAGACGTTAGTACCAGTGCTATCACCACCAATAGGTCTTCGTCTCGAAGTCTCAAAACATTGAGCGCCAGTTCCTCCAGAACTCATTGTCTTCACACCAATGGCACCACTGATGAGATATCTGGTCAGCACTCGGAACTCCACCAGTGATCTAAGGTCTCCGTCGAGCCATACCATCGAGTTATCACTTCTTAAGCAATACCTCAAACCAATCGCATGTCTATTGAGAAAGGATTAGAAAAGAGTGGTTAGTATTCGTTGATCGGAAGTACTCGTGAGATGTGAGACACGGAAACACGTGAAATACTAAGCCATAAGTGAGTGGATGTCTGATCCTATGATCAGTCGTCGACTGAGAATTGATTGAAATAAAGGTTTTTGTGATTTCATTGTTTCTATAGTTTTAATGCAATTCTTAATCAAGAATTTGTGTTCAAAATGTTTTTCACAACAATTGATGTGTTTTTCAAATGACATTTGAGTGAAGTTGGAGTGAAAGTCAAACACAAATGTCTTCGGGAAAGACATCCACTTCTGGAGGCAAGAGATCCACACGAAGAGCACCAGACATGCGAAGAGGGAGGAGACAGACGTCGGGAACGTATGGAAAGGGATGGCGAGT